TCCAGTCACATGACTGGCAAGCCACTCCCACCCAGTCACATATCTAGCAAGCCACTCCCACACGGTCACATGGCCAGCAAGCCACTCCCACAAAGTAGGCCACACCTACAGAAAAGGTTCCAAAAAAGTTTTGAAACCCACCACTGGCCCACAGTCATTCCATTTCTCTGTTTGGGTATGGAAATATCTCTGAAATGATGACACAATAGATCAGAGGTTGTCTAGCTATAACTACAAGTTTAATCCTTTCTATTTCATTTCATTACACACACACACACACACGATATTGAATCAAATCTACTGACTGTATAAATGACAAATGACAATGACCTTAGCCGACCTTTTGTAAATTATTTTTGTGAATCTTCCTAGTGCATTTTCAAATAGATAAACTGTTATTTAAGATAGAAAGTTTTCATACCCATTAACAGGATCCACCACAATTCCTCGTGGGTGAGACATGCCACCTTCCAGTAGAGTTTTACGGCTCTGAGAAGCTTTCTCTAGCCTGGCAACATTAATTGTTTTCCTGTAACCATCATTTGTCCAAAACAAATTATTTCCAATCCAGTCTATTGCAATACCTTCTACATTATCGAGATCTGTGTAAACAAGCAATATAAATATATAGATATATAATTTTGTGTGCATGTGCACATAAGTGTGTATAATATTATGTACACTAGTATTCTCAATATAATTCAAGTTATTTATATAATCATAAATAATCATACTTATTTATAATTATAATTGCTGTCACATTTCACAAAATAATCAATAACAAGATAAAGCTAATACATCCTTTATAAAATCCTAAGAAAATAGTGGCCATGATCTTAATCTGACTATAATCATAATATTCATGATACCGAATATTTAAAGTGACCAGTTTTAAGGTACAAATAGCTTTGAACTTATTGTCTGCAGTATGACTCTAGGGCAAGCCTTCGAAGCAAGAAATATATGAAAGTGAAAGAGGTTAATGACAGCAATGCTGAATCTAGAACAATTCCTTATAATGGAACCAAGTTGTACGGTTGATAATTTTCTGGAATGGTGTGAATTGCAATGCTATGTATGGATTGCAATGATATGTTTTTTCAACATTTATTTATTTGATTTATATCCAGCCTTTTCTTTGAGGAGTTTAAAATAGCATGAAGAATGATTTAAATACTTTTCTGGCTTAGTCTATCTAAAGGCAATGGAGTATCATCATATTAATTATCCCTTACTAGTTTCTTTTATCATGATATAAAATATCCTGGCAATAAAATAATAAGTGACAGAACATATGCATTATAAAAGAATAAAAGTCTACGGTAAGTAAATTAACAGTATTTGATGGATAATACCGTGTTAGTGCAAATAATTACATTGTTCATATCATTTGGGGAATAAACCTATGTTTAGTGCAAATAATTACATTGATCATATCAGTTGGGGAATAAACCTATGTTTAGCTTATCTAAAATAACTATTACATGTATGTATATGTATATATATGTATATTGTGTGTTTGTGTGTGCGCGTGCGTGCACACTTGAGTATCTATATTTAAAAAAATAAGCAAGACAGGGAATTCATTAAGCCAGCTAGATCATTAGAACAGCCGCTTTTTAGAATATATAACAATTCATCAAACATTTCCAATTAAAATCTATCTATTTTCATCTGTTTCTATATTTTTTTATTGAGTAGCATCAAAGATGACATTTTCAAGAGTAATTAAACATGTTAGGTACTGCAATATATTTAGCAGAAAACCAGCTCACTTTCCAGCATGGATGATTAATATGTTGTTTTGCTTTTGAACTTTCAAAGAAAATTGTAATATAGACTATGCAACATTATTCTAAAACCAAATTACATATTGAAACTTCATATTCCTCACTTATTGCACATAATTACTTTTCTACTATTTCATCATAACCAAGGACACACTCCTATAGGTTTTAAAGAAGGAAAGAAGTGATGCATTGTAACATTACAATTAAAAACTAAGGAAACTTCTTAGATCTACTTAGGAAGAGAATATAAATGATATAAGAAGTACTGCAGAAAGAGGAAGAATTATTATTCTCCATATGAAATCATAATTAATATTAAGGAATATAGAAGAAAATTTCTCTTGACAAAGTTTTTGAATGTGAACTGGGAGTGCAAAGTTCCCCAAAATGTTAAGCGCACAAGTGTGCCTAATGTCCCTATCCTACTTTCCCCATTTAATTGTACCAATTTTCTGTGTTCTTATTCATGTTTATTCTTATTCCTGTTATCATGAACATGAGTGACAAACTAAATAAAGAAACAAATAAGAAATATTACAAGGGAAGGGTGGAAACCACATGCATAGAAAAAAATGCAACAGTTATTCCTGTCCCTAAGTATTTGGTAAAGTACAGGTGAAACTCAAAAAATTAGAATATCGTGCAAAAGTTCATTTATTTCAGTAATGCAACTTAAAATGTGAAACTAATGAGATAGACTCATTACATGCAAAGCAAGATAGTTCAAGCTGTGATTTGTCATAATTGTGATAATTATGGCTTACAGCTCATGAAAACCCCAAACCCACAATCTCAGAAAATTAGAATATTGTGAAAAGGTGCAATATTCTAGGCTCAAAGTGTCCCACTCTAATCAGCTAATTAAGCCATAACACCTGCAAAGGGTTCCTGAACCTTTAAATGGGTTGGTTCAATAGGAATCACAATCATGGGAAAGACTGCTGACCTGACAGTTGTGCAGAAAACCATCATTGACACCCTCATAAGGAGGGAAAGCGTCAAAAAGTAATTGCAAAAGAGGTTGGATGTTCCCAAAGTGCTGTATCAAAGCACATTTATGGAAAGTTATGTGGAAGGGGAAAGTCTGGAAGAAAAAGGTGCACAAGCAGCAGGGATGATTGCAGACTGGAGAGGATTGTCAGGAAAAGGCCATTCAAAAATGTTGGGGACTTTCACAGGGAGTGGACTGAGGCTGGAGTCAGTGCATCAAAAGCCACCACACACAGACAGATCCTGGACATGTTCTTCAAATGTCATATTCCTCTTGTCAAGCCGCTCCTGAACAACAAACAACGTCAGAAGCGTCTTACCTGGGCTAAAGAAAAACAGACCTGGTCTGTTGCTCTGTGGTCCAAAGTCCTCTTTTCTGATGAGAGCAACTTTTGCATCTTATTTGGAAACAAAGGACCCAGAATATAGAGGAAGAATGGAGAAACACACACTGCAAGATGCTTGAAGTCCAGTGTAAAGTTTCCACAGTCTATGTTTATTTTGGGGAGCCATGTCATCTGCTGGTGTTGGTCCACTGTGCTTCATTAAGTCCAGGGTCAGCACAGCCATCTACCAGGAGATTTTGGAGCACTTCATGCTTCCTTCCGCAGATGAGCTTTATGGGGATGCTGACTTCATTTTCCAGCAGGACTTGGCATCTGCCCACAGTGCCAAAAGCACCAAAACCTGGTTCAATGACCGTGGGATTACTGTGCTTGATTTGCCAGCAAACTCGCCTGACCTGAACCCCATAGAGAATCTATGGGGCATTGCCAAGAGAAAGATGAGAGACATAAGACTGAACAATGCAGAAGAGCTGAAGGCCGCTATTGAAGCATCCTGGTCTTCCATAACACCTCAGGAGTGCCACAGGCTGATAGCTTCCATGCCACGCTGCATTGAGACAGTAATTGCTGCAAAAGGGGCCCAAGCCAAGTACTGAGTACATATGCATGCTTATACTTTTCAGAGGTCCGATATTGTTCTATGCACAATCCTTGTTTTATATATTGCATGTAATATTCCAATTTTCTGAGATTGTGGATTTGGGCTTTTCATGAGCTCTAAGCAATAATCATCACAATAATGACAATTCATGGCTTGAACTATTTTGCTTTTCCCAAAGGTGCCTTTTTCCAAGAGGCAATTGGACTTTGTTTTTTCTTTGAAGACATTTTGCTTCTCATCCAAGAAGCTTCTTCAGCTCTGAATGGTTGGTGGGGAATGGAAGGATTTATACTCCTTGTAGACAGCTGGTCATTTGCATTCTTTTAGAAAGTTTTTAATGCCACCTGGAGGTTTATTCTGTGTCCTCATGGTCACCTGAGTAGTGTAAATTGGTATAGAGCCTTCTTGGAACTGTTGAAAGTACTGTGTTGTAGATTGGAGATAGACAATGTTGTATCCCTCCCTCTCTGTTGAGAGAGGGATGTTCAATTTTGACATATAGTAGATGGACTCTTTCACCCCTATTTCAAACCAGTGATCCTCTGTCCAAAATATGGACATTGCTGCTTTCAAAAGAGTGGCCTGTGTCTTTTACATGCAGGACTGCTGAATCTAGCCCTGATGTGTTTGTTCTCCTAAGTTGTGCCATGCATTTATGAAGTGTTTCATTTTCCCAATGTACAGATCTGCACATGGCCCACTGCATTGTACCGCATATACCATCTTGCTCAGTTTCTGTCTGGGTGTTTCTCCCCAATGATAAATGCCCTGACATCTGTTGCCCAACTTGTTCTGCAGCCGCTTGCAGTTGGACGTCATGTGGCACATTGTGCCGGTGCTGCCACTTGTGGCAGGATGCTGCATGGTGCATGGTGCATTGTGCTGGTGCTGCTGCTTGCAACAGGAGGCCTCATGGCACCTCATGCCAGTGCCATCACTTGTTGCAGGATGCCATGTGCATGCCGCTTGCATTTGCAATGGCACACCACATCACATGGCCGCCTGCCATGAGTAGTGGCACTGGCACAACATGCCATGTGGCTTCCTGATGCAAGCACTGGCACCAGCCTGACAAGCCACATAGTATACTGCCACAAGTGGCAGCACCATCAAAATGCAGCATGAGGCATCCTGCCACAAATGGCAGCACTGGCGCGAGACATCACATGGCCTCCTGCCGCAAGCTTCTGCACAGAAGAAGTCAGGCAGAATCACAACAGGTGTCAGGCCCTGAGCGGCCTGGCTGCAGTGATTCTAAAGTAAATAAAGACCTGGTGCCTCTTTTGTAGGAAAAAAAAGTATAAGACTGTCTTATTTTTGGGGAAACAACAGTAGGGATATTAAATCTGATACTACTCACTGTTGAATCAGAAGTATTCCAATTTCCATTAAATATTGATTTTCCTTGCTTTATGATAGTTTTGTAATATTTATTCGGCACAATTGAGAAATTATTTTATGATAAATACAATGAAAGGAGTAATAAAACAGAAATATTGAGAAATAACATTAGTACTGCACTTCCTCTTCTCGGGCTAAGCTATGAATGTCCAAATTCAACTATAGACGGGATCAATTGTCTTGAAAATGGCAGAAACCTGACACAGCAAGGCTAAATTAAATTCTTTATCTTAAACTAAAATGGCACAGTTAACTGTTTGAAAGTGCTAGTTCTCCCCTAAACTCATAGCATTTCTGCTTCCTCCTGTCCTTGTCAGGTTCTAAAAGCTTTTTTGTCCTGTGCTTCATGCACTGAACCTGAGCAGATGCTGGTTGTTGGTATAACTTATATCCCTGCCCTTAGAATTGCTGGCCTCTGGCTTTTCTTTCACAGCTGGGAAAGAAGGAAGAAAACATGGTATCATGTAGACTTTGAAATTTCTTCTGAAATTGGTGAAGATGTTTAAATAATTGATTGACTTTGCTTTGGTTAGTACCAAGATATCATTTCTCCTAAGAATATCCTGAAATTATCTCCATTGGTAGTGTATGTTAAAAATGCAGACTATTTTAAATCCCAGCCATCCAGTAATATATAATCAAAACATTCTGGACAACAATGATTCTGCAGTTATGAAAGTAAAATCTTAAACTTTCAGAGTTTTAAAATAAATAAGCAAACTTAACTTAATGCCTATTCTTGAAAATGCTTGAGTGAAAATTTCAGTTTCCAATATTCTATTGAAATCTTTCCATGTATTACTTACCATCCTTCAGGATTGTTTCACGGCCAGAGCCATCAACTTTCTGACGTCCTATCAAGAAACTAGTAGTGTCTGCAAAGTATATGTAATTGGTTTCAGCATGATAATCCAAAGCTCGAGGATTGACCAAATTTTCTATAGGGATCATATGTTCATCAGCTATTTTGGTATTTAGATCCATTCCTTGAATGATGCCTGGACGTCCTTTCCCATAAAACAGGAACAATTCATTCTTTAGTCCTACATAAAAGAGTATTAAAAACTTAAATCACAAATATTTCATAATTTATTTAGACTAAAAATGAAAGTTGCTTTATTTAATGCTAAAACTTTTTGTTTATAATTAAGATCTTACATATTCTGAAGGCATCTAAGCTAAGAATGATTGGTCAATTAAGCCAATTAAATTTGTTAAATTTAATTAAAACAGTTGTTTCTGTTACATCTAATTGATTACTGCTTTTTATATCAATATTTCAAAAGTCCAAAAGAACATAAGACTATTGTTAGTGCAAACTGGATTTGTATAATGTTGTATTAAATGGATCTATTGTTTGCTATTAACATGTAATAATAATGTAAAGACACAATTTAATTTTTATTTTTAAATTCAAAAACTAAAGCAGAATATCACAAAGTAATAGACTATACTTTTTTATCTGAATATATATAAATAAATACTTATATATTCAATTACTGTCTTCATAAACATATTGCAACTTGCAATCAATATTGAAAATGCAAGCACCCAGAGCAACTAGTATTTAAAACTTTTTTTAAAATCTATGGATTCAGTTAAAAAATGTAAGTAAAATTTTGGCTATATAACTTGCATTATGGTAGTTTTTGCATAGGTTCACACAGGTTATCAGGATATAAAATGCAAACTTATGATAGGACTCAACAAACATACTATCCTGTAGGAGACAAGAATAACAAGAAATAATGAAATATGTTTCTGCTGCTACAAGGTCCAGTCCATACATACATACAGATTAACAGAGTTGGAAGGACTCTTTAGGTTATCTAGTCCAACCCATCCAAGCAGGAGACCCTACACTATTTCTGACAGATGGCAGTCCAGTCTCTTCTTGAAAGCTTCCAGTCATGAAGCTCCCACAACTTCTTAAGGCAAGCTATTCCATTAATTGATTGTTAGTATCAGAAAATTTCTCCTTATTTCCAGGTTGAATCTCTCCTTGTTCAATTTCCTTCCATTATTCCTTGTCTGGCCTTCAGGTGCTTTGGAAAATAGCTTGATCCCCATCTCTCTGTAGCAGCCCCTCAAACCTTAGAACATTGCTATCATGACACTCCTGGTCCTTCTCTTCACTAGACTAGCCATGTCCAGTTCCTGCAACTGTTCATCGTATGTTTTAGCCTCCAGTTCCCTAATCACTCAACATCTTTTTTTTTTTTTATAGTGTGGTGACAAAAACTGAGTGCAGTATTCTAGGTGTGATCTTACTAAGCCTTTAGAGAGTGGTATTAGTACCACACTTGATCTTGATTGTATTGCTTTAATATGGTAAGAACATACTGCTGAACACATTCCACTAGCTAACATTTAGCTCATGCAACTGGTATTATTAATTATTTGATTTAATATAAAGAATTCTACTCCAAACACAAGTTCTTTCTGGTAAAGTGTTTGATATCAGAAAACATACTTTTGCATGATCTGCCATCACTTCCCAAGACAAAGCCCATCCGGCAGCGACAAGTCCTGCTTTTATAGCTGCTGCTGAGCAAACAGATGTGTGAACATCTACCTGCCCTTCCATGCTGGTCTAGTTCACATGCATGGCTTCTTACTGGAATAGATAAAAAGAACAAATTGGAGATTCTTTAAAAAAAATGATGATCAAACTCCATAAGGCAAAATATAAACCTGAATGTTTCAATGTCTTATTTATACTCAATGCGAAGTATTTAAACAGTTATTATTTAAAAAATATTACAGAACAATGTTTATTTTATAGGAGGACACAGATATAATTTTGATTTTAAACATACAAAAAGGGAATGCATAAAAATATTATGGTGATAAACTCTGACATTTAGCTTCTATTCTTTTTTTATTCAATATTTTTGAAAAAAAAAACACAAACTTTTACAAATGTTTAGTTCCCCTCGCCTCCCCCCCCCCAAACCCCCCCAACCTTCCCCCTCCCCCCGACTTCCCAGAACCAATACAGGGTATAAATATTTAACAAAGAGAATCTAAAGTACAATTTAAGAAAAAACAAAACCAAAAAAGATGGTGAACAATGTATTTCCATTGAACTCTAGCTCCTCCTTGCTGGACTAAGTCTAGATAATTTATAATTCCTGATCTTCTATTCTTAATCACATTTCTTCATTTATTTCCATGATAGTTTGTATTGAATGAGGTCCTACTTTCCGTTTATCAACCATATAACTGATATGTTTTAAATCAGAAAGAGCTTGGGAGATTGGGGTGTGTAGGTAAGATACTGCTTAGGGAATGGTCAAATTAGAGAGGGCATCACTTCCAGCTACGTAATGGACAAAAAAAGAGATTCAGAAGGGACTCTCCCTAACTTCTCAGGTTTAAAAGAGACCCTGGGAGATTTGCAAGATTCTGTTAAGATAACTTTACAATAAAGTACTGTTAGCTATCTGATCATGTTTCCTGTCTGGTCTGCTTGGGAAGACTAACAATATACATGCATTATAATTTTCGTGTGGTTACTGTTGTTATATCACTTAATTTTTCATGAACCTAAGCATACTTCAAAAATGCTTCAGAATTATTTGGAAGAAGTGACTGGGATCATACACAAATGCAAACTCGGCAACTTCTGTAAAAATCTGGAAAAAGATGTTACTGTTTTAAGGAACCATCACGTTCAAGCAATTATTCAAGCAGCAGTGCTATTTTTCTGGGATAAAAGGAATATGGGAAAAAAAAGTCATATGCATTTTAGTGAACAGTAAAAAGATACATGTCTCTGCAAGTTCAAGATCTAGATCCCTTGTTTACAAACCTTTCCAAAAAGTATGTAGCCCTAACATGTACATATCTCAGGGGTTTTTTAATTGTTGCATTAATGCAAAAGAAGAGACTATTGTTTTAATTGTTTAACATCAGTCATAACAATATTAAACGCGTATTAAAAAGACGATAGCAATGATAATAGTTAAAATAGTACATGAAGTCAAAAATTACATCTGCACTATGATCTGAGAGAAAGGACGAAGGGGAAAAACATAACAAAAGGGTAAGAAAATTCTTCCTAAAAAGAATTGTAAACTTAGAATTTAGTTATTGATACCAACCAAATTTTTGGGATAACTTGGAGGGGAGCAGCTGTGCAAGCAAAGCCACCATTGCTATTGAGTAGCAAATTGCTATCCTATTGCTTCAGGGGGGAAAATCACCCTAATTTTCTTCAGCTTTTATCAGTTCTTGTGCCCTTATAGGATTGGGGTTACTGCAGAAAGTGAATAAATTGGGAGGTAGTTGGAAGGTTACAGATTACAGATTAGGAAGAACTGAAGATATCTGCTGCATTCTTAATCATGTCAAGACACTCATTAAAAAACATTAAAAAGACACTGAGAAATTCTATTATATGTCTTAGAGAGATCAAGTTACATGACTAGACCTTGCACTCCATCTAATTTAAAAGGGGGAATGAATTCTAATGAAAAACCAACACTGAGAATTTGGTAGCACAGATCTTTGCATGATTTCTCAAACTTTTACATCAGAAAATGAAGTTTGCATATTTGACGTAAATCTCATCCTAAGCCCAAATTTAAACCTTTTAGTAGCCAAATTTGATTTGGCTGGAAGTAGGCTAGTTTTTGAATGGAGACGGATAGCATGATTCTTAGTAGCCCAAGACATGAAATTAATATATTATGATGAATATACATTATAATTCTGGTTCTAAAAAAGAAGACAGGGAACCAATTTTGCTTTTACTAATGGAAAAAATGGCTGAATTTGTTAACTTTTCGTGCAACATTTTATGCACCAACAATTTATAATCCCATTATTTTTTTTAATTAGAACTAGACACTTCTAATAAGGAAAACAACTTTGAAGTGAAGGAGTTAGTTAATGATATGTGGAGGCTTGCTTAAATGTAATGAAAATAAATTCTTAGGAACTTGTCCAATGAAGACCACAACTTTCCACTTTTCACAATTAATTACTACTAAGTTTGCAATCCAATCAGTCATAAAGAAAACCACGATTAACATCATAAGTAATAACATTTCCTTTCAAATATGTTCATATTCTGATTGGAACAAAGCACCTTCTTCTCAGCTCTGAGACCCAAATGTCACCAAAACAACATCTTTTTTTCCAACAAAAAAATTGATTTGTTTTTTCCAGATGCCTGATAATCCATCAAACTGGCTAGTTAATGGCAGATCCACCAAGTAGGTGAAATTATTTAAATAGATTAGTACTCAATTTCAATCCTCACTTTTCGATGATGTTGTGAATTGATTTTTGTTAGATGGGTAGCTATACAAATATGCAAAATACATAAATTAAAAAAGAGAAATCAGGTCTATAATTACCATAATAGAAAGAAATGTATTAAAAGACTGTGCAGACTTTAGAAAGTTAAAACCGATACAATAGAGAAAGATAATGAGCAAATAGATAAAAATAAAAATTAAGGATTGCAGGGGGATTTTAAAATAATAAAGTTCACAGAAATAGTGTTTATATTAGTAAATAAGTGCATATTTGAAATTGAATAAATTCTGAATTTGAAAAGAAAAACAGATTTTTGTGGAAAGGGATGTACTGTATTTTTCAGAGTATAAAATGCACCGGAGTGTAAGATACACCTCAGTTTTGGGAGAGGAAAATAGGGGAAAAAATCTGCCTACCAGATATTCATCTGGCTAGCATCCTTAGTCTGGTCAGCTTCAGCACATAGGTTTGCTGGTTTTGAGCAAACGCTTGCACGCTTTGTATCTCCTGGTTGGGGGATAAAAGACAGCATCTAAAGCATAGCTGATTGTCGGAGAGAGAAGCAATGAGAAACCCAGGGGAAGCCTGAAAGATCGCTTCATTTGCTAATACCTTTTAGGGCTAAAAAAAGCTTCTAAACACACTTGATTGTAGGAGGGAGGAACAATGAGAAAAGCAGGCAAAGCATGGAAGATCACTCGTTAGCGCCTCTTTAGGGCTGAAAAAAAGCTTCCAAAAAGCTACATTCAGAGTACAGGTGAAACTTGAAAAATTAGAATATCATGCAAAAGTTCATTATTTCAGTAATGCAACTTAAAAGGTGAAACTAATATATTAGATAGACTCATTACAGGCAAAGCAAGATAGTTCAAGCTGTGATTTGTCATAATTGTGATGATTATGGCTTACAGCTCATAAAAACCCCAAATCCACAATCTCAGAAAATTAGAATATCGTGAAAAGGTGCAATATTCTAGGCTCAAAGTGTCCCACTCTAAACAGCTAAATAAGCCATAACTTCTGCAGGGTTCCTGAGCCTTTAAATGGTCTCTCAGTCTGGTTCAGTAGGAATCACAATCATGGGAAAG